TGGTCTATTCTGAAGTACGAACCAACATATATGACGATTTATATAAGAAACGTCAATTCGTTTGTTCACATGATCATGTACACGTATTACTGTTTATCAGCGTTGCCGGTCTTGAAGAAATATTTGTGGTGGAAGAAATATATAACTAAGTTACAATTAGTAAGTATTTTTTCTTTTGATAATATTTTTTTATTTATCAGAGCCATGATAGGCCATGGCCGGACAATTAGACATTCAAAATATTATATTATTTTTTGGATCTTTAGATTTAAACTCAAATGACATCTATATTAATATAGTTATTTCAATAGCCAAGGTAATAAGGAAATTTATATTTTTAATTTATTCTGTAGTGAAAGACTAAAGCATACATATTTTGCTGAAACATTACCAAGTAACGCCTGACACAAGTCTCAAAAAACGCAGTTCTGTGATTAATTGCTAACAATTTTTTTTCAGGTGCAGTTTTTGTCAATACTCGTCCACTTTGTAATGTGGTATATGAGGTCGGAATGTACTACATCATTGCTATCATGCTTTATTGTAGTATTTAATGCAAGTTTATTCATCGTCTTGTTCGGAAAATTCTATAAAGAATCGTATACGAATAAAGAAAAAAGGAGAATGGCAAAGGATACCTAATCAATATGTTAAAAATATTCGATGACTTTCAAAATTATCGGAACAATATTTCATATGTCTCTAGTAATGGCATTAAGTTAAGAAATAATTAACAAAAAAGAACCATATTTACGAATGGTAAAATTAAATAACTTTTGCAGAATTGTAAATGTATCATATAGAAACCTTATTGAGGAAAGACTATGTGGATAGGTAACAAAATTAAATGCGTGCTTCAATAAAAGAAATCTGTGTTTTTATATCCTGCAACAAAGAAAAATGGCGTTTAAATACTAATCCAAGCTGACGTCAAAAATATAATTAATCGACTTCATTTTTATATTAATTTTAGATACCTCATTAAAATGCAGATAATAAATGTTTGCAATAAAAAAGGCAGTGGCTGCATACTTCATGAAACATTTAAACGAATATCGAGAGAACAGGTTCATTAAAAAACGCGCGGAACTTTCTTCAAAAGTCCATTTTCGCCAAACTTGATACTTGAACTTGAAATATGCTGACCTCTGAGTTCGTGCTGGTATTTCTTCGCTGAGTTTAAGTTTTTTTATGAGAGATGATTTAGTGAGAGCAATCTGCGCCGCCCATGGACACCCGCAACAACGGAGCAGTTGCGGAGGCGTTGCCGACTTTTTGGGGATTAGGGATTAGGTGATTTTCGGATTGGGGGAGGGCAAAGGTTGGGCCTCCGGTAACCTCACTCACACGTCGAAACACAACGCTGTTATTTGTTTCACGCCGGTTTTCTGTGAGTCCGTTGTATAACTCCGGTCGACACGTCCCATTCGTGCCAAAGAATGGCTCTCACATACGTACAGGGTAAGTTTATTTACTACTTACTTTATTGGTTTCTGTCAGTACATTCGGTCTCAGTATCAGGTTAAAGATTACATAGGTAGCTTATGTGTTATTCAAGACTATAATCTATATTTATCTATGTCAAATTTTAATTATATCCGCTTTGTAGTTATTACGCGAAAGATTAACAAACGCTTTAACCATCCATCTACATATTTCTCCTCACGCCCCAGCCTCCTTAGCAGGCGACACTCCGTGCGGGAATCGAGCGACGATCCTTGTCCACCATAGCACGGGGCGGACCAACTATTCCGCAGATATTTTCTGGTTGACAAATTTTTGCTCTTCTTAGTCATTACACTCTTGGCAGAGTGGTCGTGACTGTAGATGGATGGGTTGCGCCATACCGTCGTCCTTCCTTTCAAGAGCAGCACTTTGAGCGATGTCTCTCCACTTTTGTCTACTTTGAGCGTTGCGAGTACATTGAACTGCGGTCGACTTCGTAGTTTTTTTTTATTAGGTCTATCCAGCTAGTTGGAATCTGGCCTTGTGGTCTTCTCGGGAACTTATGTGTGGCCTTGTACCACAAGTCATTCCATAGAGTCCGCACTTGTAGATATATGCCCAAAGAACTACAGTATTCGCAACTGCACATCATTCGACATTACCTTATCTCGTATATGAAGTTCCTTGAGGATCGAAATGTTGGTGTGGAACGCCGTCCACAGTATCTGCAAAAGACGCCGCCAAATTTTTGATACAGATGATTAAAATTAAAATTACAAACACGTACAAAAACACGTGACATATTTTACAACATGTAGTTCATTAAACTTGTATTAATTTGACAAATAACAGTTAGTGCTAGAAATATGACCTATCGAATAATTTCACAGAAAAACTAACGCTAAAGACTAATGTGCAAAATCGTTGTTCAAACAATAATATCTATATTTCGCGTACATTATTATGACTTACACTAAGTATGAATATTCATCATTTAACAGTCAATAATTGAAGAGGCGGTTTAATGTTGGGAATAAACGGTGTTGTATTGCATGCTGTAAGTAAAATGATCAAATTATGGATAATTTTGATCTGATTTTTAACAGAACATGCTATATTCCACTCTTTCTTTAGGTATTCTCCATATACCTAAAGAAAGAGTGGAATTTAAGTGTGCGAAAGAGTTTCATCATATAAATGAGGTTACCGCAAGGCAAATCCTTTCCCCTCCGCCCAATCCCTCCCTAATATCTTAATATCTAAGTAATAAAATATCAGTTAAAACTTCTTCAAAGGAAAGTAATAGGATGTTTAAATTAGACTCTAAATACTCTAACGTATGCTGAAATATTTTGATTGGTGACACTCTTATTTCTGAGAACAGCATACGGATTGGAAAAACGGCCAAGGGCGAGCATCAGTCACACATCAAAGATTACTCAGTAGCCACAAATGCTGAGCAACAAACATATAGGAACATTACAAAGAATTATAAGGTACTTCAAACCCTTTTTTGTCTCAAGGGAAAATCATCAAATGACCTTTTCCGGCCAGGGAAAGGGCGAAAGAGAGTGTCAGACTAACCCCCCCACCTGCCCCGTTCGTTCTCCTGCTGTGACCCGAGAGCGCGGTGACTCATTGAGCTTTACCCGCAACCCCAGCTGAATAACAGCCTTATAGGGGCCTGTCTGTGGTGGATAATGGCTCTTTGAGCCACGCGGAACGCTACGCGCCGTCCGCTCGGGTCTGGATCTGGTCGGGCGGCGAGCAAACCTTACTCGCCGCGCCGATCCGCGCTTACGGTGGTCGGGGATCATCTCTTGAGGTACTTTAAGCCCTGAGTCGTTTATACAAAAAAGTTTTGTTTCACATTTTTTTAGTGATATTTTCACATTTTTTTTAAATATAGAACCTATAAAGGAAAGCCATGTTGCCGTTATTGGTATCTTTTTCCTTCTTTGTTTTTTAATACATATTTTTGTAGCTAACTTCAACCAAAAAAATGTTAAAATTACGAATAGGATTGCATAAGTATGAACTTACTTACTACTTGTGAACTTACCAATGGACTTAATTCAATTTGATTATTATTTTTTTGTTCCATCCTAGATTGTTATTTGCCTGGTTATTTTTAATTCATAACTGTATTATTATCTGTAATGTAATCTGTTCAGAATTACGTTTTTTTATATTGAAATCTTTTTTGATATATTTTTTGTTTGCTTATTAATTCAAAACTATGCTTAAGAGTCAAAGATAGTTAATATAATTAAAATTTTAGCATGAAGTGCTTTATACATAAATTCTACTTACATACGTTATTTAAGTATACATATAATGTCGCTAGTTTTGCTATTTATCCTATCTGTTTATATAGGACTATTTACTGCAACCTATTTACATTTGAGGAAGTGACAAGTTAGATAAATATAAAGCTAAAGAGTTTTGTACTTAGAATGATGATGGTTTATTATGATATTTTAGGGTCATTTTTGAATTGAAAAAATGAATATGTACATAAAATTTTACTGTAATCGTACATAATTAATGTTACACATTAATGAAATGAGGTAGGTAAGGAGTTCAAAATATTTAAACGTGTATTTTAAATATTTTTGTGCAAGAAGTAAGTTTCGTGTTTTTTTTTTATGTGATAGGACAGTGTAGTAGACGGATGGTACCTGATGGTAAGAAATCAGCGCCGTCCATGGACACCCGCTACTACAAAGGAGTTACGAATGCGTTGCCGACCTTTTGAGGATTTGGAGATTTAGGGATTGGGGGAGGGGAAGGATTGGACCTCCGGTAACCTCAATCACACGGCGAAAAACAACGTAAGTGTCGCTTTACGCCGGCTTTCTGCGACGCCGTGGTATCACTCCGGTCGAGTCGACCCATTCGTGCCGAAGCATGGCTCTCCCACAATAATGTAATAAATTTATTGGTGAGCATCGTGCGCTTCGTGGTCAGCTAAGCGACTTACAAAGCGACGACGAAAGAGTTGATCTTTGCGGTAAAGTCAATCAGTCAATCAGAAAGGTAATAATGGTTATTTGAAACTAGCAGAGCTTTTCTCAGTTACTTCACGTGAGTAAGTCGTTATTTTAATTTTCGAGTCCAAATGCATTGTGAAAATTGATTGAAAAAGAGTAACCATGGAGTTTGTTGCTCGTTCTTTTCCATGGGAATCTACTCTTTGGAACGAGCAAATAGCTTCACTATAGCCCAGACGGACAGACTGACACGTATAAAGTTAAACCTTATGATATCTTTTTTGCTTGACGTTCAATAATGCCTGTTGTGGTCTACTTGAAATAAAGGATTTGATTTGATTTGATTTGAAATATTCAGCATACCAATTTCTACTTTATCGTTATATCAAAAAACAAACTTACAGCCAAACAAAAGCATCTGATGAAATCGATGATTTATCAAATTCCGATTCACTTGCAACTTCCATAGTTTTTAAAATATTTCGTTATAATCAAAAAAAGGTTTTTATAAGGAATTTAAGTCCAAAACAAAATTAAATTCACAAAACGCTACCGCTTATAATGGCACCATACCCGAATGAAAACTCGAAATTAAAATACAAGGCACCTCTTTTGTCATATCTCATTTTTCGATTTAATACCGATCGGGTAAGACGTGTCTCTCTTGTGCGGGATATTGAGACCAGAATGGAAACTAATAATGGAATCTCTGGAATTGGCGATAATGGAACAGAAATTCGTAGAGAACCGGTTTATGGAAACAGTAAGTAGCTTTAATTATATTTGTTGTGGTTCTTCGAAAAGCGAATGCTAAGTAATTTTTAATTCGTCCAGGTTGTTACACTGTGATTTTAATTAACCTATTAAATTTTAATAAATATATGAGATTTACCTATTGTTAACGTTGACGTTGGTTTAACGTGTTAAAATTTGATCGATTTTATTGAATAATTTTTGCAAATATAACATACCTATTACGTTAGCTATAATATATGTAGATACTAGAACTAACTATTCGAAGGTAAATTATGAATATTAAAACTTTTATTGACTACCTAGGTATTTAGGTAATTAATGAAATAGTACGATGCTTTTTTTCATTCTTTTGTCCTCCAAAATAAAATTATTTTTACATTCTATCAACTAATGTTGCAGTTGGGTCGAAGCTCTATTTTTGTTTTCAGATTTTCACAGTATAATATAGTATGTTTTTATTAAATTCTCTTAAAGTCCATTTGTGTTTTGGAAGCAAAAAAGTTTTGGACTCACCACTAACCGAAGATGGTACAGTCAGCTCCAAAAGTCGATGAACAGAATCAACTTACCAAAACACCTGTTCACAATAAAACGCCATAAGTTATAGTCGCAACTAGAAAACAAAATAGCCTGTACACCAGAAATTTACAAAAGTCGTTACACACGACTATTTCAAAAGTATCTGTGCACTATAGTATTCCTAAAGTCGCTGTACACCTTCAATCCAAATGTCGCTGAACATCATTGTATCAAAAGTCACTAAACAGCAGTAAAGACAAAATTAGGTTAACAAAGTATATTTTTAATGTTGCCCCGTGTTAATATACTTTTGACGCTTATGTTGTTCAACTACTTTTGGGACAGTGTTTGCTAGAACTTAATAATGTATGTTAACACGTTAGTATCTACATATTTCAAAACTTATTTACAAATAAATTATATTTTATTGTCAGTAATCATACTAATCTATAATTTATTAAATAACATAAACATAACTCTAATGATCTACGAAGTGATTTTTGTGACGGTACTTGTAATTTACTTTGCGCAAATCTTACAAAACCTACCTTCCTTTAATTTATTATTTTTACCCGACTACGGCAATGCTAAAATTTAAAGAATTCGACATATGACATATCATTAGAAACGTCTTAATTGTCCGCTGGTTATAAGTTATATGATGTATTACAAAATCTAATGCGGCGTCCTCTAGCGGACAAAACAACCAGAGTAAAAAAACTAAAACCCAACTACGACAAACACCGACGCTAAAAAAACGCTGTTTTCTTTCTTATCTTGTTCGGAGGAAACGTTCGTGTGTCACCTAGCACAGATCGCCCGGAGGACACGGTAGAATATACGGTGGAAGTGTGCCCCGCTTGGGCAGGAAGACAGTATTTCAATAAAATAACTGTTGCTATAATCACTCTTCTTACAACTCTTGATATTACAATCACAACAATTACAATTTACCACCTAGAGGATACGGTGGAGCATACGGTAGCGGTATGCCCTGCCTGGGCTGAGCACCGCCGTATCCTCAGGGAAGTGATCGGCGGCGGCGACTTCTCGCGCCCGGCCTTAGTCGACGCCATGGTGCGGAGTGAGAGGAACTGGGACGCCGTCTCCTCCTTTTGTGAAGCAGTCATGCTCGCAAAGAGAGAGGCGGCCCGCGTGAGGGAGCAATCCTCTTCCTCACGCCCCAGCAGCCGCAACTGGCGATCCATACGGGCATACGGGCGTCGGGGATCGAGGGACGATCTTCGGCCACCGTAAGCACGGGCCTGCGGTCGGCGAGTAAGGGCAGCTCACCGCCCGACCAGAACCAGGCCCGAGCGTACGGCGCGTAGCGTTCCGCGCGCGCCTCAAAGAGCCATTCGACCACCACAGACGGGGCCCTAAAGGGCTGATGTTCAGCCGGGGTTGCGGGGTAAGCGCAATGAGGCACCGCGACCTCGGCACAGAGCAGGAGAAGGAACAGGGGAGTTTTTAGTCAGTAAGAGTCTGACACTCCCTCATGCCCGGCCCTGGGCGGGAGAAGACATTTGATGATTTTCCCCCACAGCCCCTCACAAAAAAAAAAACAATTACAATTTAACTAAGGATAATTAAGATTAGGTTGTATTTGAACTTAATGTCCACCGAACACGTGGACGCGTGCGTATTCTACGAAGGTCCAACACTAATTGTCCCGTTTTACAAGAAGGCCGCCTCACCAGAGCTCGGTGTTCGCTATGGACTTGAAATAATTATGACAGTTGACAGTGAAGTTTGACATCGACGTATAACAAAGAGGTTTTATATGCACTGATGGCCAGTGCGCCGACATATACTTTGTTAACGTAATTTTGTCTTTACCGCTGTTTAGTGACTTTTGATACAATGATGTTCAGCGACATTTGGATTGAAGGTGTACAGCGACTTTAGGAATACTAGTGCACAGATACTTTTGAATTAGTCGTGTGTAACGACTTTTGTAAAATTCTGGTGTACGGGCTATTTTGTTTTCTAGTTGCGACTATAACTTATGGCGTTTTATTGTGAACAGGTGTTTTGGAAAGTTGATTCTGTTCATCGACTTTTGGAGCTGACTGTACCTATAAATTACTTTAACATAATATTTTTCATTAAATATGTTTTCCATTAAATTCTCCTTCAAGTCCAGTTGTGTTTTGGATGCAAAACAAACACTTTTGTTTTGACATGTAAATTACTTTGACATAATATTTTCCCTTAGTACCGTGAAGTGTGTATTCAGAACTTTGAACCGGATAAATATTAAACGTCTTTAAAAAAATAAATGTATTTTCATAATGTTACTGACATAATTAAAAATTATTGTGTACAGTACACAGTTGTGTACAATCTTTGAAACATGAAACTCATATTTGCTTGCCTATGTACCACAATAAAGAATATTGTATTTGTATTATTTAATTTAGGTTATGGTAAATCTCGGCTCTATCTAGATGCTTTACTGATTATTGAATTGAATAAACAATTGAACATACATAGATAGTGTTCAAGTTATGATTGTTTAGTATTGTTTTGCAATGTCTGTTTAAGATGCGGATATTTTTAAACGACTTTTTCATCTATAAAATATATTAATATGCTATAATAATATTACTAGCTAACAATATTATTAACCTGAAGAGTTTTGGACAAACTAGAAGGTTAATCACCTGATGATAACAATCAGCGTCACTAGGGAGACCCGCAATACCAGAGGAGAAGCAAGTCCCTTGCCTCCTTTTCGGTCTAAAAACTTAAGGATTGGGAATGAAGGGAATGGGAAAGTGTGTCTTAAATAATAAATAAACGAGATAATATTCAGAGTTTTTGGTTTGAATTCAACAATTTGACTTTACGGTTGGAGCGGTAGCTGGTTAACTAGCTGTAGCGCAACGTTACGTATCGCAGATTCAATTCCCGCACGGAAAGACTTTGTGTGATCCATAAATTGTTGATTCATATTTAGGTGTGATGTGTATATGCAATTTTATCGATGCACCCATGAACAGTGCATCACGACTAACAAAATTATCTTTGTCTTACAGCGGATTTCGTGGACTCATGGTTTCTAATGGGCTCACCAATCCCAGTGGCGATAATCCTGGCTTCGTATTTGATGTTTGTGTTGAAGATAGGACCAGCTTTCATGATGAAACGAGCGCCCTATCAACTGTCTAACGTGCTTCTCCTATATAACGCACTTCAAGTGGCTGTATCCTGTTTCTTATTTCAAAAGGTAAGTCGGTTTTAAGTTTAATTTAAGTAAGTACAACTGCTTCGCTGGTGGGAAGGTCATAAATGAGACTACTAGAAGCAAGAAGTATTCGTATAAACGATTAAGGTTTTGTAACGACGCTTACTTTGTGCCTTGCCGTGTAAGTGAGGTTACCGGAACATCAATGCTTGTGCCGCTATCTCCAATCCTCAAATGCTTCATATGCCAAAAAATGCGAGTGTCGATAGGTGACGCTGACGGCTTACGCGTCGTCTCGTATGCCGACCGATTCTATAAAAAAAATCTTCAGTTGACCTAAGCAAAGAGTCAATTAAATCAGCGTCCAGGGCAGTGTCTGTATGTGACTTGTCTCTTGTTACGTGAGACTCAGACAATTGGGTAGTTTCCTTAGGCAAAAAAAGGTTATTAAAACTTTTAAAATCATTACAAAGTTAGAAATGATCTCATTTTTTTACAATAATTAATTTTCATTCGTATTATTATAGGTATACTAGCTACATTTTAGCGTGTTTTTTATAGCCTATAGCAGTCGGGAACATTGTAGCTATCAATTAGTGAAAGAATTTTGGATATCCGACCAGCGTTTCCAAAGATTACACCTTACATATAAACTTACAAATTTTACGTCTTTATATAGTATTAGTATAGATAAGTCAAAAGTAAAAGTCAGTTTCGTCTTCGACGAAATAAAATTCCGTTAATCGTACAACGTAAAACGTAGGAAACTAATAATTGTATTAGATGCAAACTGACCTATTATACAATTAATTATGTCAAACCTTTTTCACTCAATGGTAAGCAATAGGGAATTTCCTCAAAGACTAAAAATCGTAAAGCTGTGTTCTTACCTACATCTTACGTTTCCTCAAGAAGTGGGTAAATAATTGCTCTAAACATACTGACATTGTGTGTATATACATATATATCGTCCGGTTAAACAGACACCTTATAGGCCTGCCTGATGTCATTGTCATAAAACATTGTTAATTTTCTTATCATTTCCTAGAAGAAAAGCCTTGTTAGTGTGGTTACCAGAGACCTAATCCTGCCCGACCAGTATCTTCAACCTTGAAATCCAGGAATTCCTTAAGCAAGGTTGGCAATACAGTTGCAAATCATCCAATCAACGCTCACCCTTAGGTGATCCGTCTACTTCTTTGCCGTCTTTTCCCATAAAGAAAACAAGGCTATATCACACGATTATAACTGAATTCCCTGATGGTAAGCAATCGGCGCTTGACACACGCAACATCATAAGAATTACGAATGGGGATTTATACATATGTGTATATAGAAATAGATGGTGATATAGAAATTATATGAAAATATCAGGGATGGCGGAAGACCTCCGGTAACCCCTGTTGTATCCCTAATGGGCCTCCGGCAACCTTACTCACGCGGCGAAGCACAACGTTGTGGTTGTTTCACGCTGATTTCCTATGAGGCTGTGATATCATTCTGGTCGAGCTAAAGAGGATATGTGGTTATATCGTCATTGGGTCGAGCCGTCCCATTTGTGTCAAGGCAAGGCTCTCCAACACTTAGGTATTCTTTAAATTCTTTTATTTCTTTCTCACACTTTTACAAAGATAGCTTTTCTGACCAGTGTCTTAATTTTCTTTTTGTATCTAATAATATTTTGTCTTCTCGTCTCGTCTCGGTTACGTCGAACACGTAACCCAACTGTTCCGATATTTGTACACAAACTAAGTCTATTAAATAATGGACAGATGTTTACACCTATTTCTTTTCTAAGTAATAAATCAAATGAAAACTGCAATAAATAAATACCCCTATGTAAACATGGCGTATTTAATTAGTATTGTAAATATGTACTTTAATGTTTGCTGAGTACACTGTTGATTAAAGACACATACGATGTGTTTGCTTAAAGTTCCTTGGATTAAAACTTAGCTCATAATACATACATATCACAGCCAGAAATGAACTTAGAGCACCTTATACTTTTCCTTAAGTCTATTTTCAGGAGTCTATTCTGCAAATTAAATTACACAATAAATCATTAGGTTTGGAGGTTATAGCTCTCGATTCTCATAACATATGGTAGGTATTAAACATGGCAAATGCCAATGGGTCCTTTTTCGAGTATTTTATTAATTTCTTAGTTTTTAGGACTCACACACATACGGAATAGGTGAAGGAAAAACTAGTGCGGGAACCTTAGGTATTTACTAATCACAATCCTGTATTGAGCGTGATGATTAATGCTTGTGATAAATAAACATTTTCCGTGAAAAAAGGTTTTAGCTTAGTAGTGTGCATTTCTAATAGATATAATGTTGTTGATGATGATGATGATGATGATGATGATGATGAATTATTTAAAATTAATATTTTTATGGTAAATATCGGCAAACAAGCACGGATACCAGTTTAAGATACCTTTGGTGTGTTGCGCACAAGTGCGTTAAATATGGTATATTTAATATTATTAATTACAGTTTTGAATACGGATATTCGAACTAAACTTTGTCCTACTTATTTAACGGACAGTTGATCAATTGCTGCGTCAAAAAAAAGAAATTATTATTTTGTCACATACATATCTATTATAGTTTGATAGAAATACTATAACACTGTACTATTATATTGTATCTTGTTTGAAAAAATCTACTGAATCTTTTCATTTTTTGATTAAACGCTATACCTACGTGTACCTACCCATTTTCGCGAAGTGTTACATTGACATTGAACGTTTGCTTTCTGCTGGAACCGGTCAGCTCTATATGACCATAAACGAGTCTTGTGTGATTAAATAAAAGTTTCTTTTATACAGTAGTACTGTAAGCTTGATATGCCTTTTTTAAATTAACGCCATCTATTTTTAGTGGTGAAAACTACTTATCGACTTTTTTCATATATACTTATATATTTTACTAAAGTAAAAAATAGCTTTTACTTATTTTAATCTCCCTAATTACAAGCTGGAGGCCCCACAATTTATTAAAAAATAAATGAAACTAAGAGTTACAGCGACGAAAGGGTTAATAAGGTCGATGACCTCATTTCAACGCGATAAAACACCTAGGTCAAATTGTAAGTGACCCTTAGCCGTGGCAACTGCTACGGTGGTTTCGTGATTGATATTATCAAAGTAATAATTAAAGGAAAATTGTGTTTTTCCAGTGTTTCAGCATGCTTGTCGAAAATGGGGTGGTGCCAAAGACCTGCCTCATGGAAACAGATTACAGTAGACGAAGTGTAAGTTTCTTTGCTTTGTACAGTTTTTTTTGGTATTTGGAAAAAAAGATGGCTTTAAGATGGGGATAGGGAAGATATCTTAATGCCATTTTTTTATTTTTTTATGGATACGACAACTCATTCACTGCTGCTGTCTTAATTTTAAAACCGGTAAAAATCTCTGTGCGTATTGGACTTTTTTATACTATCCTATACCTACACGATCCTATAAATAAAATTTGAAGAATTGTAAATAGAGTATTATTAAGTTCCATCTACCTTTTCCTCTGAAAACGGTGACAAATAATTTGTCGACTTCCAGAAGCAATCTACAATTTAAAACCATTTTTTTTCATGTATTTATCATATTAACAGTAAACACAGGATTATCACTTAAAATAGCAACCAAACACTAGTAAAGTTTAAACTTTTGCTATCATGAATCTATCTCAAAATCAAAGTTGCATAAAATGAGGTTTTACAAATACAATATGCATGAATGTACGCTAACAAATAAAATAAATTAAAATCTGTGTCCCATTTTGGACATGCACTGGGTTGCAGAAATCAAACTCGCAACATAGCCATCTTGTTAACCACAAAAACTATTACAAGCTAAATCCTTTAAACCTTAATAAACCCCATCTGATTTCAGATAACAACAGCAATGTACTGCTACCTGCTAGCCAAGGTATCAGAACTGCTGGACACCATTTTCTTCATACTTCGCAAGAAGGACAACCAAGTGACCTTCCTCCATGTTTACCACCATGCTGTTATGGTGTTTGTGACCTGGACAGCACTGAAGTATGAGCCGACCTTCGCTCTCGTCTTCATGGGAATGTTGAATTCCTTCATTCATATTATCATGTACACTTATTACGGATTGTCAGCCTACCCAAATCTGGTGAAATATTTGTGGTGGAAGAAATATATTACTAGATTGCAGTTGGTAAGTTCATGTTTATTGATTTAGTATAAAATAGACAGGGCGAAGATTCATACATGAGTATTCTGTGCTACTCCCCAGTATAGTATTTGAAACTTTTTGCCACGAAGGAATATTTCGATAGTCAAATAATAGAAACAAATTAAAAATAAATCTATTAATTTACAAATACTACGTTTTTGTGATTGCCGGTCCTACTCTTAAGGCCTACTATTCCAATAATTAGATATGGTATCATAAAAAATAATTGTCGACGCAGTAAACCTAAAACGGGTTCTGTAGGTTCTGAAAAATTAGCCGGGGTTGCAGGGCAAGGGCAAAAAAGTACTGCGGCCTCAGCTTGGAGCAGGAGAAGGAACAGGACTCCTTGTTTAATCAGTAAGAGTTTGACGGCCCTCGCCTCACCCTGGCCGAGAAAGTTCTATGATAATTTTCCCTGGCAAACAAAATCTAGAAAATTCACTATAACCTTGTCTCTTGCGATTAAATAACTTTCTAATATTTGAATTCATTTTTACAGTTGCAGTTCGTCCTGGTGTTACTTCAGTTTGGGACATCCTTTGCAACATCAAGCTGTCCTCCATCGAAAATCATGTTTGCATCAATGACATTCAATGTTTTTCTCTTCATTTATCTTTTTGGAAGCTTCTACATAAATACTTATAACAGACGGAATAAGAAAATTGAAATTGCCAAAGAAAGTACTGGAAGTAATGGAATTAAGGTCAATGAACTACAGAAAGAAGATGGCGAAAAAGGAATGAGAGTTTGCAAAGATGACAAGGATTATAATAGACATCTGGATAATTACACAAGCACTGCAATCAAACTGAACGATAAATATTGCTTTACTTTTAATTTGCGAACTAAGAAATTGCTGTAGATTAAGTCATAAAAATATGGTGTAAGTAATTATTATTAGTATTAGAACAAATGTGATTTTTAAATGTAGATAATAACAAAGGTAATAAAGAAAATTCTAGTAAAATTATTCTGTGAGTTATTTATTTATCCAACATCTCGTAAATGCCATAAGCCATCACTAAAGGTCTCGCCTCAATTTAATTATAATTGGAGCATAAAAGAATCTACCGGTTAACACTATTGACTATGTAGCTAGAACTATGAGTGCAAAGCCGGGATTGTAGATGCAAGCAATATTGCACACACACACCACAACCCTGACAGAAGAAGAACCGGGGTAGCTTTCGTAAGCAAGAGTCAGACACTTCCTCTGATGATGGCAGGATGATGATGAAAAGGGTACCTCATTTGATGATGATGATGAAATGCAGGCCAAATATGAAAAGAAATCTTATTACTCAAGTAATGTAAAACATTACATCCACTATCAGTTATATAATCTCAGAAATTGAAAATAGAAGATCATTTGATGACATTCTATGCTCACAAAAAAGGAATCGCACTCCAAATTCAAATTCAAATTTTTATTGCATTCCATAGTTTTCAAGATCATTATGGACCCTGTCGGGCACAGTAAATTACATAATAATAAAATTAACTTACCTATATTATGAAATTGCAAAATTATATCATAACTATTATGAAAATAAATATAATTAGGAAAAAATAATTTTATAATGAAATGAAATTAAATTACAGCAATCTAACATCTATTTTTAACTAACTATGTAATGAGTCCCTTGTCCTGAAGGTGAAGTTATTGATAACATTTACAAGGATTTACGGACCCCGTGCTATAAAATATTGGTCATTTTTTGCCAAACCAAGCCGTTGGTTAAAAGTGAAAAAGATATCGTCTTTACGATAATTTCTGAAATGGAATTATCTTCACCCTTTAAGAATAACGAATACTTATTTATTCGACTCTATAACTAACTTTATCACTTATTTATAAACTATTATTTTATATTTGTTACCTTTTTAATAATTTGTAAGTAGAACGATAGCCTTTAGTTCACTTAAACGTTGATGACCTCACAAATGTAAATAAACAGGCAAAGGCATAATTACTTTGTGTTATTCCAATATTAATTTAAATTAAATCTGTTACATCAAATTGTCATATTACGTGTCGATTGGTCATTCAGTAATCCACAAAAAACTGGGTTATTAATTAAAATACAGGAACTGATTAAGGAAAATGTGTAAGAGTATTAATAATGAACTCAGAAACTGAAATATTAAGTTCTTTTTAAACATAATATCAGGATTATTTATGCTTCGGCACGGCCTCAAAGAAAACCGTCATAAAGTAACACTTATGTTTCGAAGTGTGAGTGAGGTTACCAGTGGCCCAATTCTCCCTTTTATCCTCAATCCTTAAATCCCCTATCCTCAGATCCCTAGTAACCCTTCAAAAGATCTGCAAAGCACTTGTAGTGACTCTTTTGGTACGACTGTCCATGGGCGGCGCTGATTGCCTTCCATCAGGTAACCCATTTGCACGTTTGCCAACCTGTATCATAAAATAAACATTCTCTCTGTACCTACTCGTATCCCTTTAGGCAATGAGTAAACACATAATAGTACGTTCTTCGACCGTAAAATAAAGTTTATAATAGGTCTACAATATTTAAAGGCAAGCAAGATTGCCTTCCAAGAAACAGAGAAGACTCAAGGCATTCGTCGCTTGATAACCAAAATCAATGTAAGTAAACGTTTCGAGCCAAAGTTTCGATATCTTCGGAATAATTACCCATTCATACTGGCAACAAAAAAGGGGAAATTTCATATTAAAACCAGCTACTGCGTCGCAAAAGTTTCACTTCCGTACTGTAAATCGATAAATAGTTTCTCTTTAACATTTCCTGAGATAACAATTTCAAAACATTATTTTGTACTTACATTATTTTCAATTTACCGTACAGGTAAATTTTATTTAAATTTTTATTGTTCTAAATTATATAATTATTATTTAGGCCACCGATGCCACCCAATAGTGCCTGAACCTCACACAACCTCATATAATGTGGTGCTTACAAAAATATTTCAAATTTTTAATCATCGAACCCCAAAGAATTCCATTTTTTGTACATACGTCAGTTGGTGTTATGTCAATAGATTTTAAACCGTATTTCTCTATTCACAATAAAGTTGGAATTCTAACGTATTGGTGTAGGATTACTAGTTGGCTTCTAATCTAGGAAATAATTTTCTATATTAACAAGAAGGTTCCGCACCACTGGTCTATGGTCCAGATTGAAGATCTCATTGGATTTGAGACTTCATTTCATATTTCTACTAAAAAAATTGTGTACAGATGTTAACCCCAAACTATGAATCACTACGTAATTTTAACTAATCCATCAAAGAGTAAACAAGAATTTCAAAGAAGTATCTAACAATTTATGTAAACAGTAGCTTAACTATTATATACCTTAACAATTAGATGATACAGTGTATTAAGTTGTTGACAAAATCAGTCAATGTTTGCTTTAGGCGTAAATCGGGGAATCTCTGGCTTCATTGCGGAAAAAATACACAGAAAAATCGGTGTATTGAGTTATAAAATTAAATGTGGGGCGTATACCGTAACTGGTAAAAACCGGTCACGTGCAAGTCGGGTTCCCAAGCGAATTGTTCCGGTACCAAAACGTGGTTTTGTTGCACAGAAAGTCTGGGAGAGCCATGCTTCGGTACAAGTGGGTTTGGCTCAATCGGAGTGATACCATGGCCTCACAGAAAACCAGCGTGAAACAATCACAACGGTGTGTTTCGCCGTATGAGTGAGGTTACCGGAGCCTTCATACTTCTCCCCTCGTCCAATCCCTAAATCACTAAAACCCTAATGTCTAAAAGGCAACGCACTCATAACAGCTTCGTTGTTGCAGGTGTACTATCAGTTAATCTATTTGCTTGTCTGCCATCTTATAACGTCAAAAAATGGGAGCCCTTAAATATTTGTTTTATATTTAGTACTAGCGACCTGCCACGGTTCCGTGCGGGTGCGATAGTGAAAATTAATTTCTCCACTATTTTATGGATGACATTATACATGTACTGTAAACCTTCCTCTTCAATAACTCTATCTATAGGGAAAAAGTCCGTATCAAAATCCGTTGCGTAGTTTAGAAGATTTAAGTAAACATAAGGACATAGGGACGGCGGAAGCGACCGCGTTTTATACTATAATACTGATAGTGAACACAGGTCTTGATAAAAAGAGACTTTAATGACAATCGAAAAAAATATTCAACTAAGTGGTATATCGTCAGAGGACCTAGAAACAAATGGATGAGTGATCCACAAAAGTGTTATATGACATAAGAATTACCTACAATAGTGTAATTAAAGTAATTATTGAATTTGATTTTTTATTGGACTTTGACTTTAACTTTATGTTTGAATTTGACTTTCGTTTTGACTTTGACTTTGACTTTGGTTTTGACTTTGACTTTGAATTTGACATTGAACTTGACTTTGACTTTGACATTACAATTTAGTTTGATTTTGAATTTGTCTTGACTTTGAAGAGGGAGGTTCTCAGATGATGGTAGGTAGTTTGATATAATGATGAATAGGTCTAATAATAACTATTTAAAGCTGAAATCATTTTGACAAATACAAAAAAACCCATGCTAACGTTGCAAAACATATGATTGTATGAATTCGTAATACAGTATAATCCTGATGCGTCACCTTTTACTCTTGTTCGTTATCTTTCGGCAATTTTCTCAGAAACTACTGTATCACTTTTGATGTAACAACATATAGCATCCGTTTGTTACGTTTACATTGTAACCGCATAGTAGTTTCGGGATATTTGTATGAAATAAATAAGTGATTGTGTATCGTGAGTCAGTTTCGTCGCTAATTGGGTTTTATGAATTACCAATTAGTTAATCGTAGTGGTTAATTATGTTCTTCCCAAATGAAAGATCGAACAATTAAGCTTCGCCACGAAAGAGTCGGTTTGACCGGAGTGATACGAAGACGACGTAAAAACCAGCGTGTACCAATTGCATTATTATTCGTTCTGTAAGCGAAGTTTCTGTTCGATACAACTTGACAATTAAGTGTAAGTGAGTGTGGGAGAGCCATGCTTCAGCACGAATGGGTCGGCTCGACCGGAGTGATACCACGGCCTCACAGAATACCGACGTGAAACAACCACAGCGTTGTGTTTCGCCGTGTGAGTGAGGTTACCGGAGGCCCAATCCTTCCCCTTCCCGGACCCTTCCCCAATCCCTAAATCTCCAAATCCCTAATCCCTAAAAGGTCGGCAACGCACTCGTAACTCCTCCGTTGCGGGTGTCCATGGGCGGCGTTGATTGCTTAGCATCAGGTAATCCGTCTGCTCGTTTGCCTACTTATTACATTAAAAAAAAAAAATTTCTAATAGAATCAAAACAATCAATTTCTTTAAATTATGTTGAAATCATTTTAATCCTCATAATACGGTAGTTTCCAACTAGTCAAATTCAATACTTTTATCCAAACGTCAAAAACGATAGTTTTCTATGAAAAACTGAGCTATGATGTCGTAACATTTTTGCGTCAAGTAGCATACTTATTTCTTAGTACTTTGCTAAAAAATCTAAAACTTAGTGTATCCATCGATTGATGAATAAAAGTATAGTTATTTTTCAATATTTATTTGTATTGAAACGTCGAATTAATTTATTTTTGCCCTGGGAAACTACCCATTAAATCATATTAAATGTAATATTACATATTATTTGAAAATTTCATAAATTATATTAACTTTAATACATACACTTAATTGCCACTCAAAATGTATTCGTAGTAAAATACGTGAAGGAAATCCAAATATTTTTTTTTACACAACACTACGAAAAAGAAAAAATAACCTTATTTCCATTTTTGAAATTATTGTTTTACACGCTTGCACTCATAACGTATCCGATACAGGGAATTTACAATACATTGTAAATATGAACGCGAACGTTATGTCTACTTACACAGACACTGTTTAATATTATC